TTCCTCAAATGCATTTTGCAGCTTCAGAAGAAATCACTGCATTCCACTCACATCACTGCACCTTCACCTTGCTTTAATCTCCAGAGGAGTCCATGTGTCTTCAGAGGTTACCTTGTTGATCCAGTTGCTGTTCACAGTTATCCGGTTAGTGCTTCTGCAACTGCATCCTCAGCGAGGTTATAGACGGGCATCACGCAACACTCCATGACTATATTTAGCTGGAGATTCATGAAGCAGAGGCACATCCACACAAACACTGAGAAATAGAGCATGATGTAGGAGATGGGGAACGAGCTTCTGTTGGCACAAAGAGATTGTGAAGACAAACACTAAAGCCTTGAGATAATAAGAGCTGTTCAGAATGCCAGCGTCTGTTATCTGGTTATTTAGTAAGCTGATATAGTACTAGTTTGACTTGACTGTTCTTAAAGTAAAACATTTGCGGCATACTGAATTGTACAAATGTTTTACTTTGGGGTGAATCTTACGAAACCGGTCAAGAACATGCTTGAATCATATTTCACTCCAAAATCAAAAGAAAAATAATCTGAAAAATTTTAAGAAAATGGTCCCTTTCCCAAATAGTGTAATGCAATAAAAATATAGATACATTTGAATGTAAAAATTCATGCATCATTTTACTATTCATTGCACTGATTTAGTAAGTCAGTCAAATAAAATGCACGCAATGTAAAATTTACTTTATGATAATTGGTCCTCTCCCAATTCGTGCCATGCAAAAAAATATTAAAGGTAGGAATTTGTTTGTAATATGCTGTTCATTGCACTGCTTTTAAGAGTAAACCAAATGCACACAATGCAAAAATTGTTTTCTTTAAGAAATCAGTCCTCCCGCAATTAGTAGGCTATAATACAATAAAAATACTGATACATTCAAATGTATTTAAATGTAAGAATTTATGCATCATATGCTGTTTGTTACACTTTTTGTAAGGTTAAACAAAATGCAAAAAATAAGAAAACTGGTCCTCTCCCAATTAGTATAATACAATAAAATACTGATAAATTAAAATGTTTTTAAATGTAATAATTTATGCATCATATGTTATTTATTGCAGGGTAAACAAAAGGCACACAATGTAAAAAAAAAAAGGCTCCAAATGCATATAATCTTTATTGGGGTGTGGTGCAGTGTAATCTGAACATGTGGCATTCACCCTTTTATTTTTTGCCCATTAATTCCGTCCCTGTTGGTTTCTATGAGTCTAGGCTGCTGGTATGCGCTAAATGGATTCCACAGAAGGGAAACCCAATATAACACTCATTACATCTCTGGAGGACACATGAGTTCATCGCCCTAAATCCTTTCTGTATGCTCTCCTAAAACCCTCTGGAATCAGTGGGCGATTGAACACCTTTACCATGTAGGGCCTGATATCTTGGTGGTTTGGCAATGGAGACGCCGAGCCACATTTACAGCGTTTGGCAGATGCATGCATGAAGAGATCATGTTAAAATGATTGGTTTTCCTGCATTAGGATCTTTTCTGAATCTCTCTTCTGTGGGGGTTTGTTTATGTGGATTATATGTACATGTGTTGACTCCAGCACATGATGCCAGGATCAAGTATCTCTGTAAATCATCATCAGACATGCATGCATGGTCCAAATGGGCTGCTGCCCTCAGAAGAACCAAAACATGTTTGTAATCCATTACTGCTACGTGCCGTTAGTCATAAACACATCTGGCTCTTCCACAGAGAAATCAGAAAAGCCTGTAAACGCTGTAGAGTTTCAGAAGCTGTGTTTAGAGAAGGAAACCTGACTCGGAAGTAATGAAAATGCTCATGTTGTAAAAGTAACATTTCTGTATCAAAAAGTCTTCAAAACTTAATGAGAGTGAATGTAATGAAAAGCATGATCACGTGAAAATAAAATCCAGCCACATATGTGTTTAGAGCTGTTTAAACGCTGCTTGAGCTGTGCAGATTTCTCTCCTGATTCAGACCAGAACACTGACTCACTGGAGGAAGCGTTATTATGGATTATGGACTCATATTTGAGTTAAAAGCATATTAATGCTGGATTAGTTTCAGCTTTTGTCTTCTCCAGATGTTAACTGATGGACTGGAGTGCTGTGGATTACTTGTGGATTATTGTGATGTTTTTATCAGCTGTTTGGACTCTCATTCTGACGGCACCCATTCACTGCAGAGCATCCATTGCTGAGACACTGATGCAATGATGTGAACTGAAATTGTATTCATTTTTCTCCTCAGTAACTGTTGTTTTTATTTTAGACTTCAGCAGTTCTTGAAACTTCTGGAATCACAAAATGAATTGTGGTTAATTAATTTACTTATCCTAACCCACCCAGTTTCTGTTTCTGTAATATATTTTAGTTACAGTCCTTAGGGGCCCATATGCATCGTTTTTATCCGCAGGCTGTAAAGTTCCTCCAGGTGAAAGTGCTTCTCTTTTGTGACCCTGCAGCACAAAAGCAGTGTTAAGTCGCTGGGGTATATTTGTAGCAATAGCCAACAATACATTGTATGGGTCAAAATTATCCATTTTTCTTTTATGCCAAAAATCATTATGCTATAAAAAGGATTTTTCAAAATTGTAAAAAAAGATTATGGAAGTGCTTTTCTCAAGAAAATACCATTTCCGTTTTTATACTTCAAAATGTCACACTGTTACTTGCTGTTTCTTTGTAATTATTTGTGGAACTTACCAGCAATTTCTGCTTCTACACCAGTTTTTTTTTTTTTTTTTTGATTGTAGAATGAAATATCAGTATTTCGGCTGTAATTATGACAAAGCTACTTGTTTTTAAACTTTCAAACTGGGAGTGTCAAAATATGAATTAATCATGAGTCATTTTGTGATTCTGTAAGTCTTAGGAACTGAGTGTTAAATATAACCAACAGTTATTAAGGAGGAAAAAAAAATCATCTTGATTTTGCTTTTTAATACTTGAATTTTGAGTTTTAATACTTCAAATAAGATTCTTTGAACATGTAATTTGTAATCTCATTATTTGAGCTTCAGGGAAACGTGTCTGTGTTTTTCATCAACTTTTCATTATAATTTCAGCAGCTGGGTGATCGAGATATAAACTTACAGAAAGTTGCTTGCGCATTTGTTTTCAATATTCTAGACATGAACAAAGTACAAATAGTTTTTATCAATTTGTACACTAAAGTAGTGTTTAACCCGGTTAGGAAACTTATTTTAAGAAAAACAATCAAACTCAGAGGTTCATTGAATATTAAATCTGCAACACTGTAACCAACTGTATTAAATGCATTTCATGATCTTAATGTTTATTGCTGAGAAATAACAAAACCACACAAATCAGGGATCTAACAGTTTTTTAGACATTTCAACAGCTGCAAAAATGGCAAACCTCAAATTAAATTATTAATAATAAATAATTTCATTATTAATATATTATTTATAACATAATTGTTAATAATTAAATGTATTATAATTATTATTATTAAAAAAACAACAATATACAATTAAGACTAATGTTCCCCTTAAAAGCTATTGGTTATATTGAACATCCAGTTAAACTTCTGGAATCACAAAATGAATTATGATTAATTATTGTATTGACACTCTCAGCAGCTTTGTCATAATTTCAGCCGAAATACCAAAGAAAAGATGTGTGTGTGTGTGTGCGTGCGTGAGAGAGAGAGAGAGAGAGAGTGTGTGTGTGTGTGTGTGTCTGTGTGTGTGTGTGTGTGTGTGAGTGTACTGGTTTATATATCCTGGTGGGGACTTAAACCTTTTTAAACAACTTTTCCATTGTTTCATTTCAGTGATAGTTTTTTCTATATATCCCTCTTAAATTACCAAAATAAATAGTTTGGAGTGTGAACTTTTTCTTTTCTTGTTTTGGTTTTGCTTGTTAATGTATTTGAATGCACTGATTCTTTGAACTGAAAGCAGAGGAAATATCATTATCACTTTCCCTAACAGTTTGAAATATGAGTTTCATGATTTTACCTGAACAGAACATTTACAGCTCATTTTTCACCCCAAAATTAAATAAACTTGAAATTATAATTTACTTATTTTCCCCTGGACCTTTAAGATGTTTGCAACGTGGCAATATTTTCAAGACTCTTTGAGAACTATTGCTTGGTTGTGTTTGTTGTGCTGCCTTTAGTTTATGCTGAATTAAATGTGAAATATTGTGTTCAGACGATGATATTCATCACTGTCAGAAATGGTGTTTTCTGCAAATTGGAATAAAATGTGTTTAACTGTCATAAAAATAATGTAAATCAGGCCCCGTCATTTTTTGGCAAAATGTCATTTTATTTTTGTCTTTTGATTTTGATTTTGGGGTTCAAATATGACCATGTTTCTTATATATATATATTTTGTCCATTTTAAATTTCATTATGAGAATGAGAGTGTTTTCTAGCTAATTTAAATGAGAATTTAGATTGCAAATGCTTAAATTGTCTAAAAAATATAATGTGAAAATGCAAAAAATAAATCCTAATGGTCATAAATCAGCCCTCACATTGGTCTACGCAATATATAATTATATATATTTTTTATTTTAGGGTGAAATATGACTATATAGTTTTTTTTTCAGTTTCATAATGAGAATGTTGTTTTTTAAATGAGAGTTTAGTGTGAAAATGTGACTAATTGTCTTAAAAATAATATCAAAATGCAACAAAAAAAAGACACAAAACAAAAAAACGTAATGGTCCTAAAACATGCTTCATTGCTTGAATGCAAAATATAATTTCTTATTTTTGTCTTTTGATTTTGGGATGAAATATGACCATATTGCTGTTTTTTTTTTCTTTTCATTTTCATTATGAGATTTTTTTTTTTTTAAGTGAGAATGAAAATGTGACTAATTGTCTTTAAAAAAAACATAATGGTCCTAAATCATAAATATATTAAAAAAATGAATTTTTTTTCTTTATTCTTTATTGCCTTAATAATAATATAGACATGAATCATTTCTTATGTATGTCCATATGAAACAAAAGATTGTTGTAACAGGCATCAGAAATCATAATTTTTATTGATGAGAATCACAGTAAGTATTAATAAAGGTGAAAGCAGTTTTACAGTATTAACCCCGATCCTCTTTCTGCTTGTTTTTTCTGTTCTTCAGCTCGCTCTGAGCTCCAGCGGGGAAGCGAATCTCTGATGAATCGTTCCGAACGAAGCGACTCTTGGTGACTCCCGTGAAGCCGGCGTGTTTCCTCTTGGGCACGAACTCCAGCGCTTTCTTCCAGCTGCCCGAGTGCTTCAGCGTGATCAGGATGCGCATCATCTGGTCCAGGGTCAGGTTCTTGGCTCCACACTCCCAGTCCAGATGCTCGTCCAGCGGCAGGCGCGCCGTGGTCAGTCGCAGGCGTTTAGCGTTGGCCAGAGAGACGCCGGAGTGAATGGAGCGGTCCACCATTGCACCGACGATGTACACCTTACTGTGATCAAACACCTGCAGGTAGACATGTGCTGGTATCACCATAATCAACACGCACACAGTGCTGGGAAGGTTACTTTGGAAATCTTAATTGGTTACAGATTACAAGTTACACTAATAATGCAATAATCCCCGTGAAGCCGTGGTTTACAGTGAATTTATAACAGCTAAGGGGCGTTGTTAGGTCAATTCACTGTAAACCACGGCTTCACGGGGATTATTGCTTTTATAAAACGGGTATTTCATATACATAGTAAGGTTATTTTGAAACATTTGAAGCAGGCAGGTTTAACCTTATGTAGTATTCAACACTGATTACTGTCACTTTCGAAATACTTCATCACTTGAATTAAGATTTTAATAATTTAATTTTAAAGCACAGTCACCACAAAATCCATTTTAAATTAAGAGAATGGAGATGTGTACATTTTTCTTATTTTGCCTAAATATCATAGTAACAAGTAATGTAGCTATTTCGATTGCTTTATTAAAGTAATGTAACTGATTACATTTGATTATTTTTGATTCCTTCTCTAAATTTCTAATCATAATCAAACATGTAAAGCAGGCAGGGTTAACCTTGCAGTAGTGCGCAACACTGATTACTGTCACTTTCGAAATCCTTCATCACTTGAATTAAGATTTTAATAATTTAATTTTAAAGCACAGTCACCACAAAATCCATTTTAAATTAAGAGAATGGAGATGTGTACATTTTTCTTATTTTGCCTAAATATCATATTTTTTTCATTTATTGCTGCCCTTCAGAGGCTACAGAAGATAGTTACATGTTTCCCCGAAGACAAAATAAGTTAAATTTACCCTGATCTTCAAATTCTAAAGTTTTCACCCCCGGCTCTTAATGCATGGTTTCTCCTTCTGGAGCATCAGCGAGCGTCTGAAGCTTCTGTAATAGCTGCATATGAGTCCCTCAGTCGTCCTCAGTGTGAAAAGATGCATCTCAAAATCATACAGTCACTGCTGGAAAGGGTTCAAATACACAAAAATGCTGCAAAACCAAATAATTTGTGGGAGCTGGGGGTTTTTCTGATGAACAGCAGGCAGTTTAACTGTTCAGGACAAACAAGGGACTCATGAACAACTATCACTAAACACAAAAACACAAATATCTTATTCAGGTCAGAACCAAATAAAAAATAACATGCATTTTTTTATTGGTAAAATAATTAACATTTTGCAAATTCTGCAAGGTGTGTGTAAACTTTTGACCTCAACTGTATACTGTATTATGACAGAATTTTTTGAATATTTGACACCGTCATAGCAGATACCTGCAGAACTTGCTTGGAATCGGCCGTCAGATACACCAGATCCTGCTGAGGAAACATCTCCAGGTGTGTTCGCTCGGTGGCCGTGATCAGCAGTCGATCCCATGTATGCGATCCGTAGCGTCTGCGCAGCTCGCGCAGATATGCACCGTCTGGCTGCAGGCCGCAGAAGTGCAGGTGGAAGGGGTCCGCGGCGCGCCGGTTCCAGCCCTCGCTCTCCATCAGCTGCGCGACGGTGTTCTCCATCTCCCGCCGGCTCATGTGTTGCTCGTAGCTCATATCGTACACCAGCGGCTGACCGAAGCGCATGGCCTGCGCCGCTCTCCAGCTCTGGACTCGATCCGCGGAGCTGCTCCAGAACCGCAGGAGGAAGGTGTTCTTCAGCTCGCGGTCTTCTTCCTTCACGCTCTCCTTGAAATGTGAAAATATTATTAGAATCCTGGATTTTAATCTGTGACCCTGCAGCACAAAAGCAGTGTTAAGTCGCTGGGGTATATTTGTAGCAATAGCCAACAATACATTGTATGGGTCAAAATTATACGTTTTTCTTTTATGCCAAAAATCATAATTTTTATATTATGATACTTATATGTATATGACCCTGGAGCACAAAACCAGTCATAAGGGTAAATTTTTTAAAAATATACATAATCTTTCCATTGATGTATGGTTTGTTAGGATAGGACAATATTTGAAAATCTGGAATCTGAGGGAGCAAAAAAATCTAAATATTGAGAAAATCATCTTTAAAGTTGTTCAAATGAAGTTCTTAGCAATGCATATTAC